AAAGGTGTGGTTCAGCCATGGTACACAATCATTGGGTCCAGAAGAGAGGTTCCTCGGACATGTGGACTCTGGTTTAGGGTTTTCCTGACATAGCCATGCCCGGAGTGGGTGAGGAAGTTGCCTTGCGTTTTCTTGACTGATGACTCTGAAGTCTACTCGCACTAAGCCAGTTTCTGGCAACGTGGCTCCCATGCGGCTTGCCCACAGGAAGAAAGAACCCTTTCCAGCTGCTCTGGGTAGTCCATCAATCGGTATGGTGCAAGATGGCCCAGTTGAGTGGCTTCTCAGCCAACAGGAAGCAGGTAGGCAGTGTGAGGAGGATGGGAAACCGAACTGTCCAGGAAGTGGATCTAATCTCCACCACTAGATGCTGTGCCTCCTGACTGCAGCTCCCCACTCTGCTTGCCACCCCAATTAAAAGGAGTTGGAACCACATACATGAAGAAGAAGAGAGATAGCAGATGGCCACTCAGCATGGGTGGGTTGAGGTACTGGTGGTTGTGTTTGCTTTTTATTGACTTGGTGTACTGACTAAGTGGCAAATACTCTTCTGGGAACTTCAGTCCATGTTGTCTCACTTGGTCTTCACACAAGCCTGTGAGGAAGGCATCTCTAGTTTCGTTTGACAGCTGGGAAAACTGAGGTGCAGAGAAACTGAATGGCTTCAGGATTTATAGCTAGTAACTGGCCATTAGAATCAGCCCTGTTGGGCCCCAATGATGTGGTCCTTCTAAATGTATCAAGAAATATTTCCTGAAAGTCCTGAGATAAAATGATAGCCTTTGAGAATGTAACATATGTCAAACGTGGTCTCTGTGCTTAAAGGATCATAGCATCAGAACTGAGAGGGACTTTGGGAAATGTTCTCATTTTGTAGTTTGAACCAAACAAACGTAGGGTACATGGGGGAGCTGAGAACCTATCCTGGATGTTGTAGAAGAAAAGGAAAGAAAAGGCATATATGGAAAAGCCATAAAGAAAACCTGCAGGGTGTGGTAGGTGAGTGGGTGTCAGTTGAGGTGGAGAGGGAAGGGTGAGTCAGTGTGAGGGCTGATGAGGATACCATCGACCAAAACAGGGAGGATCTGAGAGGCAGCTAGTTGTGGAAAGGTGAAAAGAAGGTGAATTTGTTTCTGAAGAACTGAACCAGAAAAATCAAGGAACTAAAAATTCTAGCTGAAAACTCCAAGCCCTGAGAAGAGAAGGCATGTCTCAGAATCCATCAAATAGGGTCTCAGTGAGACCCCTACCAGGAAGACCCAGACACCCACGGTAGGGCTCTGTCATGCTTAACATTATTAGTCACTTAGATGAAGGCAGAGAAGGAATGTTTGTCACATCTGCAGTCCATGCAAAGCCAAGTGTCACAGATGTCAGAATCAATAGACAAAATAGTCAACATAGCTAGAAAGAAGAAATTGAACCAACATGAAACTTATCAGGGATCAATGGAAAGTCCCTGTTTATCTTCAGAAAATCAATTATACAGCTATAGAATTAGAATAACAACAGTAATGATATTAATAGCTACTATTTTAAAAATCCAATAATCACTATATGCCAGTTGCTTCACAGAAAAATTTGTTTAAACCTTACAATAGCCCTATGACGTTGGTACTGTTATTATTGTCTTTATCTTACAAGTGAGGAAACCAAGGAGATTAGGCAATCTTTCCTAAAATCACATAAACCTTGATTTTTCTAACGGAAAAATGCCATACTCTTTAACCAATAAGATAACTGGGGAGACCCAATTTGACCACACTTGTGTCAAAGACCTTTTCTAGTTGTAAAAATGGGCAGGTACGTGTTTGTTTATGCTACAAAGAAAAATACACAAGCACAGATGATGAGTCAATTGGGAGATTATTAAAAACTAAACATTTCATTTTCAAGTTAGTTTTACTAATTTGAAAAGGGATATTTGCAAAGTGATTCAGGATTGTAAATTTTGAAATGTTCCCCTAGAAGGGTGAAATTTTTATGATCATAGGAATGTTTACTGTGGAACGATTGAGAACCCAGGTCTAGCCGGGTTTCTGATGATATCTTTACCTCATACAATTAAGGGAAAATCATGGCTAGGAATCAACTAAGAGACTCTGAGTGTCTATGGACTCCAACTAACAGAGAAGCCTACTGTAGCAGTGCCTCGGTGGGAGCAAAAACATGAGAATCTGTGCTCACACCTCTCTGTGGTCACAAGCAACTTAGCCATCTCGCCTATCTCTATTCTGATACAGCAGAAACTCTCAAGGTGATGACCCATCCCCAAATGGGTTCATCCAGAACATTCCCTTTCTCCTTCATTTTGAGAATTCCTTGTCTCCTTCCAATCCTGCATGACCTCCTTTCCTTGGATGACTCTGCTTCCCCTCTCCTTCTAGTAATTCCTTCTTCTCTACTTTCTTTTCAGTCCTGGGAATATACTCCCTGGATCAAGGTCATTCCTTTCAGTTCCCTGGATGAACACTCACTGTCTTTCTATTTTTGTGGCTAAGAATTTGAGCAAATTCTCACCTAAGCCTAAGAGTATAAACATAACTGTCCACTTTTGCTGTCGTCTGGTGCCGAATAATTATGTTGTTAATCAACCTCCAGAATTGATGTCAACCAGTCAGGATAGAGGACACAAATCACAGGAGGCAAGTATTTCATCTATTAACTGCTCAGCATCCCAGCTATCTAATTATGGAAAAGAGTTAATGGTGCTTCGAGCCCATTTAATTTACAATTTCATTTCTTTGAAAAGTTCCACATCAGCAGTGTACATTTTATCACAACGTGATGATTCTATAAAGACAACTGAGTGATCAAGTGGGAAAAAAGTTACTTTTATGTAAGCAGATGAGTGTAGTATATGATTATCCGTGGTATAATTTTGGTTTTCTATTCCATAATCTATGGTTGTATATTGCCCATCAACTGCTCTGTGATCAAGCTGGACTTTGTCCCAAAGGGAGGAATCATAAAATGATTTAAGTTCTAGCACCTTTACTTAAATTCCCGTCTGGATTCCCTGAAAGAGAATACGTCTCTGTATAGTTCTACATTATGATATATGTCTGAAAAAAACATCTGGAATCCTCCTGTTCATTCAGAGGAGGGTACCTAGTTAGTTTCTTTGCCACGTCTTTCTTCCCTCTCTTTCCCTCTTCCTTCTCACTGCTGTGCCCCAAGTCCAGGCCTACAGCCCTGGATGCTTGGGTTACTTAAGCGCTCCTCCCTCCCAAAAGATCCCTGCCTCCAGTGTCCCTCTCACTCCAACACATCCTACCAGACTCCTTTAAGCCTGCTGTCATGACATCACTAACAGCATAACCTGTTCTCCAACACTCCCTATGGTTAGGGCCCTCACCACCCTTTGCAACCTGGACCCGCCCTATGTGTCCAATTATACCAGGACCTTCAGGTCCTACATGCCCTACTCTATAGTTTCCGCTAGACAGAAAACTTTCCTCACCATCCCACAAATGGACCGTATCTGTGTTAAGCTTTGAGTGACAGCCTCTGTATTTCCTCCCTCCCAGCACATACATGTTTCCTCCAATTCTCCAGTATTTTATAATTTTACCCACCTCTCAAAGCCTACGTCTTAAATTATCTTCTCTATGAAACCTCCTCCTGCTACTCTAATTCTCTTCTTACATTCCTTCAGTCACTTACAGCTTCTATTGTATCATCCCTGCCCCTCATGAGGGTGTAGCTATTTGAGACCAAGGGCAAGAATGAGGTGCCTTCCTGTCCCGTCAGTGCTGATCACACAGCAGAACTCAACAGCATGTTCTTGAAATGGTTGAATGCAGTTGATACTGCCTACTGATCCCAGATCATTGGTGCATATCACATTACCTTTTACCAAGCACCTCCTAGGCATAAGACCTGTATTCTAGTGTGAAGGGCTGTCCCTATGCCAATTCCAGACTTGCTCTTAAATATTGTCTCAAAAGCTTCAAGTCTCTGGCTCCTTGTTATCTGGGATTACTTGTCTGCTACACGTGTCACATCACCCCCTGAACATTTGGCTCAGTTCCGATATGTAGTCAGAATAGAAAACACTCCCTGAATGGAGGGGAACATCACACACCGGGGCCTGTCAGGGAGTTGGGGGCCAGGGGAGGGAGAGCATTAGGAGAAATACTGAATGTAGATGACGGGTTGATGGGTGCAGCAAACCACCATGGGACATGTATACCTATGTAATAAACCTGCACCTTCTGCACATGTACCCCAGAACTTAAAAGTATAATAATAATTTTTAAAAAACTGTTAAAAAATGTGGGAAAAAAACCCCACTCCCTGAACTTTAAAAGTTCCAGTCTCTGAAAGCCATGATGCCATTACAATGAGACAAAAAGACGACCTTCAAAAGCAAAATTTGGGGAAGTTGTCTTTTCCATAGCTCCTTGACTCATGCCCGTGGGGCCGCTTCTGGTTTATTCCTTTTTAAGAGGCTTGTTATAGATCATTGTTACGTTGACATGAAGGTGTTGGAATGACAGATCTAATCCCCCCAAACACACTTGTAATATACACCCACAAAATAAATGAGACAATAAAACAATGAATAACAAATGATTACAGCTATCCTTAAAATTAAATAGTAACCTGCAATAAAATGGGTGAGGACTCAGTTTAGAGAAACCCTTCCTTAGAAAAGTTGGTTGCACTCAGACTCTGAACGTTGACCTTCAGTAGAATCTAAGCCCTTGGTATTTCTGTTTTATTATCTTTCCAGAGCTTCATACTTTATTGTAAGAGGTAGCTAAAGCAAGTCTCTCTTGTTCCTACACATTTCTTTAAGAACTCAGTCCACTTCCCTATAGCAAGTGCCACCCAATGCTTTCCCTAAAAGCTCAGTCCACTTCCCTATAGTAAGTGCCACCCACTGGAAACTAGCAAAGCATTCCAGGATTTCAGTATTTCTGAGATGCCATAAGAGCATTGGGGGAAAAAAAAGGAGATGAAGAAGGGTAAGTATTGGGTGGGGAAAATCTTACCTCAACTTCTGACTGGCGGGGACGGTTATTTTATTAAGCTTGTCCATTCTGTTTGGTAATTGTAAGAGACACGAATAAGTGTCCAGTGGTCACGTCAGCAGTTCCTGGCCCTCCTAAGGAGCAGCATGGTAAGCCTCTGGTCTCAAGGGTTCCGGCCACTCAAGTCTGACTTCTGAGAGTGCAGGCTGCTGGCAAACACCCCTGCTCTAGGGAGAAGTAAAACTTGCCCGAGCACATAGTCAAGTTTCATGTTTCTACATAATCATGTGATCTGGATAGCCAGCCAGCTTGATGATTACTCCACGTTCTGTAAACTTTAATAGTGAAACCTACTGGGCATGCAAATTTCTTTCCAGCTGCTTTCTTTTACAATCAGATTTGTAACAAGGTTGGGACAAGTTTCTGGCTGGTCACTACTTCCTGTTTGTCCCAAACACATCTAGTCTGTTTCCAGCAGGTGCATGCTATAACTGGGAACTTCCTGGGCTCAAGGAAAAGCAGAGTAATCAAGTCCATCTGAACCTCTCTTGGAGACTTTCTGCTTATTTGCATAAAGTCATGGATAAGCTTTTTCTACTTATAGAACCATTATATAAAAATGGCATTTTTGTGCTTTTCCCTCCCCGCCCCTGATGCGAGCAATATGTTTAAAAATAAATATCAGGGTGGCAGTGACATGGTGGTAACAGTTTACTCGGAGAATTAGAGTCTCTCTTTTTCTGGAGCTCTATTTAAAATGGGATGGGCAATTCTCTGTTCATCTGCGGGTAGGGATGGGTGACCCAGGAAAGGGGAGATGAACTCTGTCGTAAGATGTGCAGCCTCCTTATTGCCTGGTAGAGTCAGGAGTTACCTTGCCGATAGCCAGATGCTTTCAAACAAACCAGGATGTACCCAAAAGTCAGATGAGAACAAATCTAACAGTTTCACAACAGTGCAATTCCTACATCAGGCCATTCTGAAGTCCTAAAAGCAGAATGCCACTCCCCTCCTTGCATTTGCCTCTTCCTGTCCTGTCCACCGCTTGCTCATCACAGCCAGTGACACGCCAGACACGAGGCCATCTCAAGCTCAGACAGGTGGGGTGAGGTTGGGAGGAGGGAACCATACCTGTAGGGGCTGAACGTATTCAGAGAACTCTACTTCCCTCCTGGAAGACTTGACATTTCCTTCTGCCTAATCTGAAACATGCTGATTTATCTGTTGTTTAAAGAGCAGCCTGCAGTCTAGGGTCAGGGAGGAAGAAAATGGGAGGAACTTTTTGTTCCTGGACATACTTTTTTGCAGCCATCGAGAATGCCCTGCTCACTCTTGTGGAATAAAGTACACATTTCCAACATTTATCAAGGGAACCAGTCTTCTCCTGGGTCAGAAGAATACACAGCAGGACAAAGCAAAGGGCTCTCAGTTACCTCTCCTGTTGTAGACCCAAGATCTGACTGAAGACAGTGGGGAAAGAGGAGAAGACAGAAAAGGGAAAGGAGGTGGAGGAAGAGGAGGAGGAGGAGGAGGAAGAAGCAGAGGAAGAGGAGACAGAGGAGGAGGAGGAGAAGGAAGAGTGGCAATGGCAGAGGTGGAAACCTGGATGGATTTCTTCCCTCCTGTGCCTCTTCTTTGCACAAATGGATGATCTGTCTTTCTCCAGGTAACCTTGATTATTCACATTCATCACTGCCTATGAATTTCTGGTTTGACCAGATGTTTAGGAGCAGAATCTTCAGAGCTGTTGAAGGGTGGGGCCCTTCTGCTTGGCCCCGCCACTGACTTGGCCAGGCCAGCAAGAGAGCAGACAATGTTGCATGAGAAAAATGCAAATGTTTGTCTCCTGCCATCATTCATTTTCCCCCATCTGGCTGCTCAATTTTCTTGTAGTGCATCCTGAAGGAGCTCTAGACCCTGCCTCCTGCTCTCCCATAGTTCCTAACTGAAAGAAACAAGTAGACTAGGATGGTAGAGGCACAGACGATGTCATCAAAGATCAGGAAATTCAGGCTTCACTGAATAAGATGATAATAGTCAGCTCGTTCTTTTCTGAATTATTGTAAAATGCACCCCATAAGTCACTTGACTCTTCTCTCCACCAACAACTTTGCTCAACACCTGGCTGACAACTTCATATTTCCCCAGAGAAAAAGACCAGAGGCAAAGGTTACACTTCTGCTTTTTCTTTTTACAGCCACTTGTCTTTCTTCTTTTTACTGTATTTAGTCTAACATGATGAAAATGAGAGACTGTGTTTCCAGACTGGACATTTTGCCCCATGTGAAGTGCAGTGTGACAGCCTAATGTTCCAGGCCTGCCACAACTGCTTTGGCTTCTAAGTTGCTCCATGACTAAATGAAAATTTTAAATTATTTGACTCTAATTTTGAAGTGGGGAAAACCTTTTTTTTTTTCTTTTTGAGACGAAATCTCACTCTGTCACCCAGGCTGGAGTGCAATGGTGCAATCTTGGCTCACTGCAAGCTCCGCCTCCCCGGTTCATGCCATTCTCCTGCCTCAGCCTCCCGAGTAGCTGGGACTACAAACACCCACTACCACGCCTGGCTAATTTTTTGTAGTTTTTAGTAGAGACGGGATTTCACCGTGTTAGCCAGGATGGTCTCAATCTCCTGACTTCATGATTCACCTGCCTCGGCCTCCCAAAGTGCTGGGATTACAGGCGTGAGCCACCGCGCATGGCCAGGGAAAACCTTTTTAAGCAAAACACAAAAAGGAAAAATGCGATAAATCTAGATATATATAAATTTAAGCTTTTATGTGACAAATGCACCATAAATGAAAGTTAAAATACAAATGACAGGCCCCCATAACTGGATAACCAAGAAGGTTAAAGCAAAGATGGAAACTGATGATACCAAGTCTTAGCTGGTAACTTATAAAAGGAATGAGACCACACAACGTGGTTCCACAGCGCACACAGAACAACATACCATGAAAAACCTTCAAGATCGGTCTACATAGCACAGCGGACATAGAAATTAATGAATCACTAGATTCACAGATGAGAAATTGACAATCCCAACCTTAAAGAAAATTTGGAGTGCCTATGCACTGTGGCTAAAAGTATAAGGTGCAATCACTTTGGAAACAGTTTGGTATTTTCCAATAAATTTGATGGCATACATACCTATGACCCAGCATGGATCACAGATATTGCGGAGCACTCCTAACTGTGTATATCAAAGGCATGTGCTAGAATTTTCACTGAAGCACCATTTCTTTTCTTCTTCTTCTTCTTCTTTTTTTTTTTTTTTTTTTTTTGAGACGGAGTCTCGCTCTGTCGCCCAGGCTGGAGTGCAGTGGCGCGATCTCGGCTCACTGCAACCTCCGCCTCCCAGGTCCACGCAATTCTCCTGTCTCAGCCTCCCTAGTAGCTGAGAATACAGTTGCATGCCACCATGCCTGGCTACTTTTTGTATTTTTAGTAGAAATGGGGTTTCACCATATTGGTCAGGCTGGTCTCGAACTCCTGACCTCAGGTAATCCACCGGCCTCAACCTCCCAATGTGCTGGAATTATAGGCATGAGCCACTGCGTCCGGCCTAGTCACTGTGCCCAGCCACTGTGTCTAATAGGGGGAAAAAAAGGCCCTGGAAATAATCCAATTGTCCATCAACTGGAGAACAAATAAATTAATTGTGACATCTTTTCATAATGGAATACTATTCAACAATGAAAATGAGTGAACTCCAATTGCATCAGTATGGATAAATAACAAAAATAACTTGAGCAATAAAGGCAAGCTAAAGAAGTGTATACAGCATGATTCCATTTATATTAAGGTTAAAGACATGTAAAACTAAGTAATATGTTATTTAGGATACATATATCTATGGTAAAATGAAGATGGGAATGAAAAATGAATAAGTCACTAGGGAGCAGGATTGGAGCGAAGGGACATGCAAGGTTTCCAAGCAATTGTAGTATATTTCTTAAGTTGAATGGTGGGTACAAATGTTCATTTTATTGTTACTCTTTATAGCTTATGAATATTGTAGGTATTACATGTTTAACACAAATAAATTTTAAAAGATCTGATCTATCTTTGAACTTGTAATAACAAAAAAAAAAAAAAAAAGAAAAAGGAAAAAAAAGGAAAAATATCTGGTCTAGAATTATGGGGCAAAAGCAAGATAGCATGCCTAAACCTAAGTCAGATGGTGATGATCCACCATCTCTGTGAGATGATGAGACTTGAGAACAAGAAGACGGATTGTACTGCTTCTTGGGGTTGAGACCCAACCAGCCCTGGTTTTTCTTGGGCTCTTTGCCTTGCATCTGTGGATGACAACTACAACACCATGTTTATTGAATGCTTTCTGTGTTTCCTGTACTATGACGACATTCATTTTACATGTGAAAAAACTGATTCTGAGAGAGGCTAGGTAAACCGGTCTAAAGTTACACCACTCATCAACAGAAAAGCTGGGATTCAAACCCCAGTCTGTTTCCATAGTCTAAGCTACTAATCATAGACTCTGCCATTGCAAGACAGATTTTCTGTTATTCAGCAGACAGCCCTGCTCTTGCATCAGGCACCAACTTAACCATGACCTTGGGCAAGTCTTTTAGTCTCCCTCACCTCAACTTCTTACCTTTAGAGCAAGAGATTCAAAGAGGGGCTTGGGCTCCATATGACTTGGAATCTGGACACTGCCAACGTGCATAGAAACTGGTTAGTGCCAGTGGAAACATTCACAGAATATTTAGAAGACAAGTCTTGACTTCTGTTTACTAGACTGCTTCCCAAAGAAGGGCTTAGTGGCTGTGGCAGTTTACAGTGCCTTGGAGGGAGTCCAAGTCCTCACTGGAACTGGAAAGTCAGGCACAGTTCACTATCTTCTCTGCTACCCCACTCACTGATGGCTTTTCCCTTGCCAGGGCCAGTTTAGGCAAACTGCCACAGGAAGTTGGCAAGGTGTGATGTTGGTGCCATGCAATCTGGTTCTATGCAGAACTATAACCTATTTCCAAGAGGCTCAGCTTCACAACAACTCCATGGGGGCAAAGGGTACTATGGTCATTCCCATTTTATGATGTGAAGTCTGATCCTCAGAAGGGTGACAAAACTTACTCAAGGCCGCCCGTCTTCTTGACATCTGAGCTAGGACCTTTCGCCCCCAAACCATTCACCCACCTTTCCTTTCTTGTGCTGGCCCCCTTTCTCAGGGTTGGGACAGGGATGCATCCTGCAGCAACCACAGACCCAGTAGCTTTCTCATATATGCGGGCC